AGTTACCATTTTCACCCCCCCTTTTTTTTTGGTGGTGATAACAATAAAGATCTATCCTCTTGATTTTAGAGGATACTCAGCCAGAGGTGTACCTCAAAGATATTGCAGGTTCAGTTTCAGAACATTGTAACAAAGTGAATACTGTAAAAAAGCAAGGCAAGTGAATTTTCTGGTTTCCCAGTGCATATAAAAGCTATGTTTGCACTATACTGTAGTCTATTAAATACACAGTGGCATTATGCCTAATATAACAACATGCATACCTTAATTAAAACTACTTTATTGTTAAAAAATGTTAACCATCATCTGAGCTCTCAGTGAGCTATAATCACTGATCAGAGTACCATAACAAATATAATAATTAAAAAGTTTAAAATATGAGAATTACCAAAGTATGATACAGAGATAAAGTGAGCAAATGCTGTTAGAAAAAAAGCATGGATAGATTGGCTCAATGGAAGGCTGCCTCAAACCCTACATTTGTAAAAAGCAGTATCTGTGAAGCAATAAAGCAAAGGGTAATAAAAGGAGGTATGCCTATACTAGTTGTGTGATTTGAGATTATTTAACCTCTCATCTCTTACCTGTAAAATGAGGATAATGTCACTATTTTTGGAAATTAAGTAATATGTAAATGCCAAGTACCTAGCACATAGAGTACCATACTGACTACACGTACTGACATGGACCAAACATTATTACTGGGGCTGCTTCGGAAGGCCAAAAATAATGGCCTGGACTGTGGTTTCCAATTTGAAATTCCTAAATCCCTAGGGCATATGAGAGTATTAATGGGCAATCTTGCATTTGTAGCCTAATATTTCCAATGGGTTTCTAGTAAGTTCAGAGAACCTATGAATAGTTTTTTTTAATTTTTTTTTTAATGTTTATTTTTGACAGAGAGACACACAGCATGCGCGGGGGAGGGGCAGAGAGAGAGCGAGACACAGAATCCAAAGCAGACTCCAGGCCCTGAGCTGTCAGCACAGAGCCTGACGCGGGGCTCGAACTCACAAACTGTGAGATCATGACCTGAGCCGAAGTTGGACGCTCAATAGACTGAGCCACCCAGGCGCCCCTATGAATACTTTTTTTAAAAAAGAAGATATCCAATTAGATTTATATAAAAACAGCACTAGAAAATATAGTCAGAGTAAATTAAATTGTTAATGTATTCTAAATGAGCAGAGTAAAACTTAAGCACAAAATTAGTATTTGTAGTTAAAGATCAAAAGTCTCATTCTAATATCTCTTATGATACGTCTTAGTGACTTTTCTAGTTTCCTTAGAATGGTGATTAAATAAACACTGTTTGCAAGAAACTGCATAACAACTTCTTTAAAAATCAATGAGAGTCTTCATCTTCCTTCAGCTATCCTTTTTGTTAATACAATATTTACTTCCTGATAAATCCTGAAAAAATCCTAAAGTTGTACTTCACATTGTATACATCTATTCAAACATTATCATTAGTGTAGACAGCTGAAAAACTTTTGTTTTTCTTTTGGGTGCATGGTTCTGTGATAGAAAACAAACCTCTCTCTCTCTTCATCGCTAAGACCGATGCAGAGAAGTTTGACTTTGGTCTTGGTATTTGGCAAAACATTTAGTCAGTCTTCCAAAGGCTGAGGCCAATCTGATCATCACTTCTGGCATCCTTACATTTGTGTGTGATCAATGATCTTGTGATTGCATAGTTTCCATGATATCTAATAAGTGTTAACAATCTCAGTAATAAGAACAATCATGTCATTCACATTTACTGTTATTAACTGAACATTCACTTTCAAATCTAAACATTCTAGATGAAGTAAAAAAGTCCTTATGTGTTTTTGTCAGTCAGAAAAATAAAATGTCACAGTAATTAATGATGCCTGTGAAAACCATTAGGTTTATGTATAAAACAATTAGTAAAAATTTTTAATTATTTAGCTAAATAGATTAACAGTTAATTCAAAGAGTAAATACATTAAATAGATTACTTTCTGGAGAATGCTGTTATCTTGGAAAAAAAATTAAAAAAAATTTTTTTTAATGTTTATTTTTGAGAGAGAGAGAGACTGAGCTAGCAGGGAAGGGGCACAGAGAGAGGGAGACAGAGAATTCCAAGCAGACTCCTCATTGTCAGTGCAGAGCCCGACATGGGGCTTGAACCCATGAACTGTGAGATCATGACCTAAACTGAAATCAAGAGTTGAACGCTCAACTAAGCTACCCAGGTGCCCTGGAAAAAATGTTTATATAAATTCAAATAAGGTTAAGACAGAATAATAGAGATTACCTGTCATCATAATTCAATCTTTGCAGAACTGTATTATGTATATATAAAGGAAAAGAACCATTGTTAAAAAGGAACAAAAGGTCCCAAATGGAGTTCCTTATGCTCAGCCCCACCAAGACTTAACACCAATTGTAGTTTCAGACTCTCCCAGGAATAGAGTTTTAAACCAATCAGTCTAGAATTTTCTGATCAACACTAATGAGGTAACATGCATGGTAAGACCCCTTGCCTTTTCCTCTAAGGGAAGGTGACCTTGCCTGAAACAATCCTTTCTTTTCTAATAACTTCCTTATCCTGCCCCATTTCTGCCTATAAAAGTCTTCTAATTGTACACTCCCTTGGATCATCTTTCTCTTTGTTAGATGGAATGCTACCTAATTCATTAATCACTGTTTAATGCCAATTAGATCTTTAAAAACTGACTTGGTTGTCTTTAATAGCTTTAAGAGCTACATTTAAATTTTATTTCCACTTAAGTTACAAATCTTTCAAGAAGATTTCCTATTGGGCAATTCTTGGCATCTTGTGATGATGAATTAAAAAAATGTCACTTTAAAATATCTGGAGTTGAAAAATACCTAAATTATGTAAACAGATATGAAATAATCTCATTGTAATCTCTAATTAAGATAATAAAAATGTTAAGACAGAAATGTTGAATAAATTGAGGCACCCCAAACACATTCTGTTTAGTCAGGCTTCACAGGAAAAGACTCCACAAGAATGTTTTAAAACAACTCTTCAGGCACCTAGGTAGCTCAGTCAGTTGAGTGTCCACCTCTTGAGTTCGGCTCAGGTCATGATCTCATGGTTTGTGAGATCTAGCCTTACATCAGGCTCTGTGCTGACAGTGAGGAGTTAACTTGGGATTCTCTCTCTCCCTCTTTCTCTCTGTCCCTACCCTGCTCTCCCTCTCTCAAAATAGATAAATATTAAAAAAGAAAAAAAAAAGAAAGAAAAAAACCCTCCTGTAGTCTTGAGTCTACAAAGCTAAGTATTTAAACATGAAGTGGTACAAATGATCCTTTTTAGAGGTGGAAGATAAAGTTTTTTGAGATTTGTCTAAACTATGAATCTTAGATCCTTCTAGTACACACCTTACTGAAAAACAGTTTTCTGAATCCCTTTCTGGCACACAAAAAGGTCAGTGTTGTTTTTAAATGCATTAGTTGAAAGTAAATGGATATTTGGTATTACTGGTATAGGGTACAGTGACTACAAGAGAAATCTAATAGCTAACAATGCCAAGAAATTATTTCTGTACCTTAATTTTAAACTTCCAAAATATTGCTACTTCTGATAACAATAAACCATAGTGATAATTTATTTATTGGATGAAATGATTCTTCTACTCTAGAAGTTTGGTCTATACTGGTGCTATTTGGTTTTAGCTACCGGCAAATACTACTTTTCATATTTGGTCACTGGCATTTGGCTGAAATGTGTATTTGGTGCACCTCTACCAATAGCATATTTAGAGGTTTATCCTTATGCTTCTTGGTAGAGAATACAGGTATAGCCTGGGAATGTTTTTACCTTGATAGTTTTAGAAAAATCCCAACTCTACTTCACAATGGATATTCCCTACTTCTTATTACTTCAAATCTGTTCCATATTAAATTACCCATGGTTTTGTACTGTTCACAGTGCTCAAGTTATCCTCTAACAGGGGAGTTCTTCCTTGAGGTGGGCATAATGTTTCTTTTGTATTGCCCATAGTGCCTACCACAGTGCTGGTCATCAGATATATATTTACTGAATAAGATCCAGTATATTCCTGGCTAACCACCTTTGTGTGAGACCTTATTTTCCTTCTTAATTTTAGTCTATTCTATAAATAAACTATCCAAAACTAACTATATTCAAAGTCTGAACAAATAAGGTATTGAATTTAATAAAAGATAAAAGTAATGTTTAGTGGAGAAGAAAACAGAGCACTATTCTTAGATCTAAGACACTGAAGGTAAGTCATTTACTTTATTCATGCCTTTGTTAGAAAGCCCTCTTGCTCATCTACAGACCCCAACAGTTAAAACCAGAACTAGACAAGACCGCTTAACATAAATCATGCTTTAATTAAAATTTACTGTATTTTTTTCATATTGCACTTTCTTGAGACATTGATGAAGGTGTTTTGCAAAGTCCCAGAGCATACAAACTGCCCAACCAGAAAAGCCTGATAGCAGAGGAATGCTAGAAGACCACACCCCACATGACCCCTTCCTTCCCTGCCCATGATCATGGGCTGAACACATACCAACCCTGACCCATGATTATATGCTCCTTGCCTGCTTTCTTGCATGTATCCCTCTAAACCTCTCCTTATAAATTTCTAGGTGTCCTTGTTGTTGGAGAGGCTGGTTGTTAAGGCTTAAGTCTGCCACCTCCCCTGGCTGCTGGCACCCAAAATAAATCTCTTCCTTTCTCTTTTCCAAACCCTTTTCGGTTATTGGCTCCTTTTAGGATGAGTTTATCCAAGTTTGTTCAATAACACTGTGGGCAAACCCAGCCAGGAGCTATGCTTTTTATTAGTCTAGCCCCCACAGGATTTCCTAGGATGGAGCAGCTGGCCATGGCAGCATGCCAGGGCTTACCCATTTATTTCCTGAGTTAGCGGCTGTGATATATCAGTGGTTAACACAGTCTACCTATGGATTCTGCAAGACAGCTGCATGAAGTCAAAATAACTGAGAAGGAAAACTGTAATATTAACACCAACCTGAAAGTTCGAACGAGATTTTTAAGCTGTGCATAAATATCTCCTAATGTGATCTGAAGAGGCCCCAAAAGTCCAGGCACTCTGAAAATAAAAAAAAATACATTTATTTTAAAATATAATTTAATTATACACACATACTCTTTGAGGTTTGCCTAAGTCTGGATTTTCCATACGTAAGAATGGCACTTAGGTAGAGGCAGTTAAGCTAGGATGTGACTGGTGAGAAGTCATAAGGATATAATTCATAATAACCCCACACTCCAAGTCACAGGCTATGCTACAGTATGAGACACTGAGAAACATTGTTTTGGCTACTATCTGTATTCTGGTCTCGGGTTTTTCTTACCTTTACTTTTGAATATTAGACTAAGTTAGGAGTGTGGCCTATTTCTCCTTATTAAATTCTTATGGTGGGAGTAAAAATTAGTACTTTTTTAGTGAGCAACTTGACAATATATGTTAACGTTTTAAATGCGGCTAGTCTTTGACCCAAGAGTTTTACTAGGAAAAAATTTATCCTAAAGAAATAATCAGATAACATAAAAAAGTTGCTTACGCAGAAATATTTTTAGTAGTGAAAAATGGAAACAAATGTCCATCAACAGATGATCATAAATTATGATATACACATATAATTATGATATACAAATATTCCATATAATGGAATATAATAAAACCTTTAAAATAATATAAATCTACATATTTATAATGTGGAAAAATATGGTATATTAAGTGAAAAATGCCTATGGAGTATTGCCCCATTTTTATAAAAACTTATATATAATGATACTGTATCTGATATACTGTGTATTTCAAACACGTTTCATTCCTTCCAGGTTTATACTATAACAGAGAGAACCAAAGGGAATGAATATACACACACCAGACATCATGTATACGTCAAAGATAAACATCAAAACATTACTAGGGATTATAGGTTATCTTCCTTCTTATACAATTTTGCACTGCCTCAATCTGCTGCAATAAGTATGTACGACTTTTTTAATTATGCAAGTTTCAGATATATTTCAAAACAGAGGAAACAGCAATAGCAACTCTATTATCTATTTCCAAATTCAACCTCCCAGTATTTTGTTATATTTACTGCATTTTTTCTTCCTTCTTTCCTCTCCTGGCTAGTACCATTTTAAAGTGAATTCCTAAGCACCTGGGTGGCTCAGTCAGTTGAGGTACCAATTTTGGCTCATGTCATAATCTTGCAGTCTGTGAGTTCCAGCCCCACATTGGTCTCTGTGCTGACCCCTGGAGCCTGAGCCTGCTTTGGATTCTGTATCTCCCTCTCTCTCTGTACCTACCTTCCTCCCTCCCTCCCTCCCTCCCTCCTTCCCTCCCTCCCTCCCTCTATCAAAAATAAATAAACATTAAAAAAAAATTAAAAAAAAAAGTAAATCCCTGACATGTAATTTGATCCCTAAATATTTCCTTATTTATCTCTAAATACAACAGCATTTTCTTTCTTTTTTAAAAAATACAGCAGCATTTTCTTACAAAATCATAATAAAATGATCATACCTAACCAAATTAACACTTCCTTAATATCACCTAATACCCAGTACATATTTCATTTTCTCCAGTTATCCAAAAAACAAAAAAAAGTCTGTTTACAATTGGTTTGTTCTAATCAAAAACCAAAAGGTCTTATTTTTATTTTTTTATTATTTTTAAAAATATCTTCATTTTATAACAAAGAAAACCTCAACTACTTGCATAAACAACCAAAAAAAACCTCTGTGTCAAGAATTATTTTGTTTTTAGTGTTCTTTGTGTTTCTTTCTCTTTAAAGTTATTCCACCTCTTCTCACATTTAGTTCTTGAGCTATTATCAATAATTTGGTCTTCTGGCAGGGCTCCTTTTGTCATCTATTGCAGCCAAAACCCAGGAGGAATAGAATTCCTTCAATGGCATAGCTATGTGGTCTTAAATTTAAAACTGGGTCCTTTCATTAGCTGAAATGTCTAGAAAATTATTTTCCGATAAATCCTTATCTACTGATTACATACCAGTATCAATAATCCATACTAACGTTTCAAATCTATATAACTACAGTCAAGGATTGATATCTTCTTGTCCTATGAATCAGACAGATGGTGACTTTTACTGTTTTCTAACCTATTTCTATTTCTAACCTGTTTCTATTACACAGAAACAATGTCTAAGTATAGGACCATATAAAAGGCAAAACTAAAAACAGCTTTACTGTCTATGAGAAGCTTAACATAATAGGCACTCAACAAATATTAATTTAAATAATTATTTAAAATGTAAAACAGAAGCAAGCTGCTCAAAATACCAAGGCTTCCAGGAGATTATGTTTTTCTTAGTTTTGAACTACTACAAAATTAAGACTAATCTATATGCACACTTTTTAGATTTTATTTTTAAGTAATCTCTACACCCAAATGGGGCTCGAATTCATAACCCTGAGATCAAGAGTCACATGCTGTACCGACTGAGTCAGCCAGGTGCCCCTAATCCATATGCACACCTTAAACAATGACTGAAAACACCCTTACATTTTTCTTCTCAAGAAAGAAAGTGGAGATTTAAAAGTTCAAGACAGCCCTTACACCTCTGGAAAAAAGATTTTTCAAACTTCCTTTGAAAGAGAAATCAAGATTACAATTTTTTAAATCTCATTCATCACTGGGCAATTACAAGAAAAATAATTTCCACGACGGGAAGCTTAAAACTAAAGTGCAAAGTTGACTTGAACAAAAACTCTTAAGTTGCTGAGTGTGAAATGGTTCTATAAATAAATATGTATGCAGAGTGAGTTAACAGACCGTTAAAACTTCATAAAGTTTCATTCACATGTGAAACTGATATGACACATATACCACAAATCAGTATTTAAATGGTCTAGCTTTGGTATTTTTTCCCTTACTTCACTGGATTATTAAGTGGAGGTGACATAGTTTGGTTTTCTACTCCCATATTCTCAACTTTTATTATGTGCTTCTGTGTCTTCTGCACAAAACTTAATTTCAATATTTCCTTGGCAATATATCTTAAAAATTCCAATTTCTCAGGCAAAGACATCCATGTAAACTTTTCACATTTTTCAAACTGTTCAAAATTGAAGGATAAAAATTAATCTAAATTATGAACCTACAAATACCAAATTAATTCATAATATTGTAACAGTGGAATGACAATTACATACTTACATTTTACTCAACTTTTCAAGTACGATGCGTTTTCTAATCTGGTTCTGAGAACTTGAATCTATCAGCGGAAAGGTGGGATCTTGCTGAATCACATTTTTAAACAAAACAAAGCAAAATCATAAACGTACATTCTTTCTCTGGTAAGAACAATAAACATTAAAACAAAAGTTTACACCTAGGGAATGGCAGAATAAAAACTAGACTTGAGAATTAGAAGATTTAAATTTGAGTATTGGTTCAGTCATTAGGTTGATGTAAACTTAAGTCCTATGTCTACTTTTGAGAGTGTTTTCTCATCTGTATAAAGGGATGCTAATACCTTCTTTATTAAATGAGAAAATGTACATGAAAGAAATTTGTAAACTGATAAATGCTATACAAATGTTGGAGATTAAAGTTTTAAAATTAGCAAATACTATAAATATATTATGGGGAATTCCACTTCTAGAAATGGCAGACAAGGTAATTCAAACCATTCCTCCTGCTGAGAACTGAAAAAACACTGGGAAAATACCCATATTTGTTTGAAAACATCAGAGAACTAACAAGGCAGTAAATAATTATGGCCAGAGATTCTAGAGAAGGTAATTCCAGAGAGGCAGTGACTAATTCCAAAAGAAGCAATTCAGATACTGAGAACTTGAGCATCTTCTAATAAGCATTAGAGCTTGGGGAATGCCGAGACTGTACTGACAACTCTCTCCCCCAAAGCCTGACTTAGAAGGACTACTAAGACTAAGAATGAATAGGAAACAGACTGGCTCTTACAGAGACTGAAGCCCAGCTTTAAATCATTTTAATCCATGACTGGATTAAGCAAGATGTGGGACAACTACAAATCATCTGCTAGAAGCCAACATAAATCTGTTTTAACTTCAGTCTCAAATTATCTGTAATTTTTAATATACAATGTTTGCCATATAATAAAGCAGTAAGAAAACAAGACAACATGGTCAAAATCTGAAACTTTAGCCCATGGAAAACAACCCCCAGGAAATCCAGATGATGAAGTTATCAGCTTTATTCAAAATAACTGTTGATGTATTTAAAGAAAAATGACAAGACTGAAAATTTCTGTAGAGAACTGAAAACTATATAAAAGAACCAAAGGAAAATTCTCAAACTGAAAAATACAGTATTCTTTTTTTTTTAAATTTACTTATTTTGAGAGAGAGCATGCATGCACATGTGATCAGGGGAGGGGCAGAGAGAGGGAGAGAAAATCTCAAGCAGGCTCTGTGCTGTGCTGTCAGCACAGAGCTTGACGTGGGGTTTGAACTCACAAACCAAGATCATGACCTGAACCAAATGAAATCAATGTTTAACTGACTAAGCCACCTAGGCACCCTGAAAAATACAGTATTCTAAAGTGAGAACTTAATGAATATGTTTAATAATACAGTAAAAAAGACTGAAGAGAGAATAGTGATTTAGAAATTATTCAGAATAAAGCACAGTCACACCTAACACCCCCTCCCACATACATACATAATACAAAGCGCAAAAGAATATGAGACACAGAAGATACAATGGAAAAGATTAACGTGTCTGTAATTGGAGTACCAGACAGAGAGGAAAGGAAGAATGAGACAGAAGAAGTATCTATAAAGATAATAATTGAGACTATTCCAAAACTGATAAAGAAACCAAATTAAGATTCAAGTATTACAAGTGCCAAAAGAATAAATACAATAATAATCACATGTAGGCCAAGCATTCTAAAATTGACAGTAACCAAAGACAAAAAAATTTTAAAAGTGGCTAACAGAAGAAAAACAGTATTTTCAAAGAAGTAGCAATAAGAGAAATAAATGAAAGCCAAAGGACAAAGAAATATTTTCAATTGCCTGAAAAAAATGCTAATCTAGAATTCAATACCCAGAAAAATGTCCTTCAAAAATGAAAGTAAAATAAAGAATTTTCTGACAAAAACTGAGAAAATTTATCATTAGCAAACTGCACTAATCAAAATACAGGATATTCTTCAGGCCCAAGACAAATAATCTGTAATGGAAGAATAGAGATGCAGGAAGGAAAAACAATAGAAGAGTAATTAATTGGATAACTCCAACTGAATATTGACTATTAATAATCTTACACGATTTAAAATACTGAGACAAAGGGCGCCTGGGTGGCACAGTTGGTTAAGTGTCCAACTTCGGCGCAGGTCATGATCTCATGGTTCATGGGTTCAAGCCCTGCATCGGGCTCTGTGCTGACAGCTCAGAGCCTGGAGCCTGCTATGGATTCTTTGTCTCCCTCTCTCTCTCCCCCTCCCCTACTTGTGCTCTCTCTCTCTCTCTCAAAGGTAAATAAACATTAAAAAAAATATATTAAAAAAAATACAGAGAGAACAAAAATAGACAACAAGAGCACATAAGCAAAGAGAGGGTAAATAGAATTGAAGTTTCTAAGGGACTGTTAAGGAAGCAAAAAAAATTAACTTATATTAGACTTTTATAATAATTCAGTTAATTCAAGTTTTACTCTTTACAGTAACCACTTAATGGTTAGTAAAATAACATTTAAAACAAGCTAACAGAGGGTAAACAATGAAATAATGATATTTAATTCAAAGAAAGAAAGGAGAGAAAGAACATAGAACAGGTGGGACAAGCAGAAAGCAATGAGTGGGATGAGATTTAAGCCCAAACATATCACTTAGGATACTGAATGTAAATAGGCTAAATTCTCTACATAATAAAGATTACCAGCCTAAGTAAAAGCGGATAGTCCTTGAAAATACTAATGAAGAATGCTAATGCCAGCAAAGTAGAGTAAAAGAGAAAAAAATCATCAATGTAGAGAAAAGTCACTCCATAATACTGAGGTTTGATTTACCAGGAAGACATAACAATCTTTTTTTTTTAACACCATATAACATGGTCTCAAAATACTAACAGTAAAATTCACTAAACTAAAAGGAGAAATAATCAAACCATAATTATGGTGACAGATTCTTGACCCATCTCTCCCATCTTTCTCAGTAACTAATGAACAACACCCCCACCCTGCAAAAATCAATAGTGCTTCTCAAACTTTAATGTAAACACATTTTCCCAAAGGAAAACAATGAAATCTGACCCATTCTCCTCATCATAAACAAAAATCAATTCCAGGTGAATTGCAGATCTAAATATGAAAGGAAAAACAAAGCTTCTAGAAGATGAAATAACCCGGGATAAACAAAGATTATTTTCTTAGAGAAGTCATTAAAGGCTACAATTAATAAACTGAACTCAAGATATCATTAATGAGAGTGAAAAGGCAAGTCTCAGAGTAGAAGACAATATTTGTAATACACCCAATTAAAAATGGGTTTGAATCCTGAATAAAGAATTCCTACAAAATCAGTAAGAAAAAAATACCTGGATATTCCTACAGATAAATGGGAAAAACACTTGAAAAGATACTTAACAAAAGAGACACTCCAAAGGGTCAAAAAGCAAATGAAACAGTGCACAACTCATTAATCATCAGAGAAATGTGTTATAACCAAAAAGTAATACCACCAGAAATGTGAAAAGTAACAATATCAAGTACTGGTAAAGAATGTGGAGTCATGGAAACTCTCATATAGTGGCAGTGGAATATAAACCTGCAAAACCATTTTGGAAAACTGTTTGGCATTATCCAGTATAGTTGCATATACACATATATTATGACCCCAAAATGATATACATACCCAACATAAATACCTATACCTTAGAAGAGAGATATAAACAAGAAAGCTCAGACACCACAGCCCCACACTGGAAAAGCCTAAAATGCCCATTAATATGAATAAATTGGGATATATTTCTATAAGGGAATGCTATGCAGCAATGAAAGAATGAAGTATAGCCGCATGGAACAACATAAATAACTCACAAACATAATGTTGCATGAAATAAATTGAAAACCAAAGAATATATACTATGTGAATTCATTTAATACAGTTCAAAATTGGCAAAACTAATGTATGTTATTATAATAGTTATTCAATTTGGAAAGAGGATATAATCAGGAGAAGACATAGTTGGGCCTCTGTTTTACTCAAATTTCTTGGCCTGGGTAATGATTACAAGGCTGTGTTCTTTTGTGATAATTCAACAAGTTGTACACTTACTATCTGTATTTTACATGAACGAAAAAGTTTTAATGTTATGCAACAAAGGAATAGTCAATTTTCATTTTCTTTCTTAGGTATTTTTCCTGTTTAAAGCTTATAAACACAAAAATGATAAAACGAATGTTATATTAAGGTAGTTTATGCAGCTGAGTGACAGAGATCAGGTTTCTTCAGGCTGATTATAAAAGTTATGAATACTGTCTAATAATACAGTTGAAGTGATTCAAAATATAGTACTAGGCTAGGTAGCATTCTATATAAGAAATTTCTAAACTTTTACTCTATTTCCACTTTCATCCTCTTTCTAAATCTCCAAATGTGTTCTTAAATTTAGAGCCACATTTACTCACAAATCTTTAGTAACAAAGTTTTGTCATAAAAATAAGGTTATCACGTACTCCTCTTCATGCCAAATAACTTCATTTCCCAAGCTACACATCAAACCAAAAACGGGTAAGAGAAATACTGAGAGAACCCCCCAAGAGATATTTAGTCTCTACAGAGAATTACTATTTACTGAGCATCAATTTTATCTAAGGCACTGTGATAAATGCTTTACATACATTATTTTTTAAATTCTTAACAAGTGAGCAAGGAAAGCTATCAGACTCAAGAGACCAACTTTTCATACAGTAATAAATGACATAGCTAATACTAAAACCTAGGTTTACCTGGTATTCTCTATTTTCTCTTATGTCCATTATTTCTCAATAAGTCTCCTTTACTATATTATTTTCATTAATATTATTTTAAATTGGCCTGCTTGCTAAATAATACCCAAATACTTTACCATTCAGCTAGTAAGTCTACTCCACTGTATACAGTTCTATTGGAAATAAAATACAAAGATATATACCCCATGCAGAAATTTGAAATACCAAAATACAAAGAATATTTGTTGGTACAAAAATAAATAAATAAACCTCTTCAGAGAGTCTACATATTATATGAAGAACTAGGTTTTAAAGAAAACTCTGTCCCCAATTCTAGGCTATTTCTATACTGGAGAAAAATATTACACATTTGTGAAATTTTCTGGGGGCGAATTTCAACTTATTTGGAAAACAATTATGCCACTACTGGAGATGGCATTTAAAAATTTTTTTTTTAATTAATTTATTTAGGGGCGCCTGGGTGGCTCAGCTGGTTGAGCCTCTGACTTCAGTTCGGGTCATGATCTCATGGTTCGTGGGTTCAAGCCCCACGTTGGGCTCTGTGCTGTCAGCTCAGAACCTGAATCCTGCTTTGGATTCTGTATCTCTCTCTCTCTGGCCTTCCCTTGCTCAGGCTTTGTCTCTCTCTGTTGCAAAAATAAACATTAAAATAAATAAATAAAATTAATTTATTTTGAGAGAGAGAGAGATAGCACGAGCAGGGGAGGGGCAGAGACAGGGAGAGACAGAGAGTCCCAAGCAGGATCTGCACTGGCAGATGCGGGGCTCAAACCTATGAAACTATGTAATCATTACCACAGCCAAAACCAAGAGTCAGACCCTCAACTGACTGAGCCACCAAGGAGTCCTTAGGGATGGCATTTGAAAACAAAAAACTGAACTAAACAAACTTGAAAATTTAACAATTATTTCTTCAGTATTACTCCTGTTCCAAGGTTTGCTATGGTGAGTGTTTCATATGCTAGCAGCATAGAAAACTCATTATCGTTTTTTTTTTTAAGTCCATTTATCTTGAGAGAGAGAAAAAAAAAAGCATGAGTGGGGGGAGGGGCAGACAGAGAGAGAGGAGAGAGAGAATCCCATACAAGCTCCAGGCTGTTATCCCAGAGCCTGATGCTGGGCTCGATCTCACAAACTGTGAGATCATGACCTAAACTGAAATCAAGAGTCCAATGCTTAAGTGAATGAACCACCCAGGTGCCCCCAAAACCCATCATCATTAAGACATACCTCTTCTGAGTCTTGTGATTTGGTAGTTTCTTCATTCAAAACATATCGTCCTCTATAAAACTCCCTTATCCTTAGATTTAAGGTTTCAGTTTCTTTTTTCAAATTCTCATAACTTGGTAGTGGTTTACTGGCTGTATCTGAAGTCCTAAAAGGTAAAGACTCATCCAAGCTATTCTGAGATCCCTGCAGGGAAGGAGAATGTCTGTCTAGGTCACAATCTATGTCATCTTCATCAAGTTCTTCTTCTTTAACCAGAGAGGCTGAAGAGAGTTTCAGACACAAAGAAGCATAATTCTGGCCATACAAAAACCTCAAAGTTTCTTCTGTCTTCCACTCAATCAAAGTCTCCTTCAGGACTTTAAGTAAGTTTGCCTTTGCAACTTCAGGGCACATCTGCACTGAATTAGAGGCTGATCTAGAAACCTGGTTTGATTTGGCAAACTTTCTCTTAAAATGCTCAGCACTTTTCTTACTTATGCCTACTAGAGTTACTTTTGAACTACTGTATTTATTTCCAGAATTTTCTGAAACTTCTACTTTTTCTTGCAAAGGACTATTTGGAGAAATCTGAGTACTTACTTTCTGTGAAGGAAGTTCACAAGCAGCAGCTTTCTCCTGACTATCTAATGTGCAATTGCCTAGCTGCTCAGAGACATCTATTACTGTCTGTTCTTTGTCTTCATGCTTGGAGTTAGCTTTATGGCCGGCTTTCTTTTTCATTATGCTTTTTTTGTGCAGCTTTGGACTTACACCCATTGCATCTACCAGTCTGTTTCCTGGTAGAATGGAGGAAACAAAGTCTTGCTCATTGTCACTGTTACTGTCACTATGAGCGCTAGAAGAACTAGATTCATAATGCTTCTCAAAATGGCCAGGATTGTCAATATCTGATGTTTTAATGGCCTTAGTGCATAGCTGTACTTCCTTTCCAGAATGGCCACTGTAGAAGGAAAGAAACAAAATAACTATAATGAAAAAGCAAAACGTCCCACAGTTATTTATATTTTGTAACTTTCAAGCATTGCCTATAGATTATATATACATCTATCTATATATCTATATGTATTTCCGTAGATACACACATATACACATATACATGTTTTCGAAGAATGCTATATAATCTATGATTTCTCTGCATCTTATTTATTTGATATAATTCTACCATCTTCTTTCTTTTTTCCCATTTTTTAAAGTGTTAAAGGAGGACAGCAAAAAGAAAAAAAAACCTTGATAATTTCATCCTACTGAATTATTTTGATTTTTGCTTGTTACATTTCTTTTTCTTTTTTTTTTCTATTTTTAAACTCATGACCTGATGATCAAGACCTGAGCGGAGATCAAGAGTCGGACACTTAACCGAATGAACCACTCAGGTGCCTCTGCCTGTTACTGTTCTGTGACTATTTTATATATACTTTTTAAAAAAAGGTTTTCTTTTGAAAACTTCATTCCTGCTTTCTCAAAAAAATGTATTACAGAAACTCTGTTTAGGTTTTGAAAGATAACAAGATAAAAAGACATGTTTAAACCTTTCCCAATTATGGTTGATAGTTATACAGAAAATTCCATAGATAAAAATCACAAGAAAGTCTTAGCAAAAAATAAAATAAATTAATATTTGTCAATGAAAGATATTGTATTTGAAAACCCAGAGTTATTATAGAATGCTAAAAATAAAAGACAGTAGTTTTCCCTTTGACTATGTTCCTTCAATTTTCATTTTTTTTAATTAAAAAAAAATTTTAATGTTTATTTATTTTGAGAGAGACAGAGAGAGGGAGAGAGGGAGGCGGGACTAAGAACAAGGAGAGAGAGAATCCCAAGCAGGCTCCACACTGTCAGCACAAATGTGGGGCTCGATCCCACAAACCATGAGATCATTACCTGAGCTGAAACCAAGAATCGCACACTTAATCAACTGAGCAACCTAGGCTCCCTGCTTCAATTTTCAACTGGGTTTTAAAAAGATTAAGAATTATGAAAAGGTGAAGGAAAAGAGTAGCTTTGTCTATACAAACCTGAGATAGGAAATGTTAGGTGAGAAACTACTCTCCAGCAAATGCACATATCAGAACTTTAAAAGAACTCTTTGTAATTCTGTGTAAGTGGGGGCAGGGAATTGTGAGGGTATGTAGGAACTTTCTACTTTTCAAGCAATTTTTCTATACACTTAAAACTGCTCCCCCAAAAGGATATTCATTTTTAAAAAAATTTTTTTTTCCAACGTTTTTTTTTTATTTATTTTTGGGACAGAGAGAGACAGAGCATGAACGGGGGAGGGGCAGAGAGAGAGGGAGACACAGAATCGGAAACAGGCTCCAGGCTCCGAGCCATCAGCCCAGAGCCTGACGCGGGGCTCGAACTCACGGACCGCGAGATCGTGACCTGGCTGAAGTCGGACGCTTAACCGACTGCGCCACCCAGGCGCCCCTATTTTTTAAATGATTAAAAAAATAGACTAAAATAAAATAATGCAACATTAAAAAAAAAAAAAAAGCATGCTTGGTGGAAGTATAAAGAAAGAAAAAGAAAAACAGAGTTGAAAGTAAGGTTGTGGGGGCTTAGTCAGTTAACCGTCCAACTTAGGCTCAGGTCATGATCTCATGGTTGGTGCGTTCGAACCCTGTGTCAGGCTCTGTGCTGACAGCTAGCTCAGAGCCCAGAGCCTGTCTAAGGATTCTGTGTCTCCCTCTCTCTCTGACCTTCCCTTGCTTGCACTTTCCCCTCTCTCTTTCAAAAATAAATAAAACATAAAAAAACAAAACAAAACAAAACAGTAAGGTTGTGGATGGGAATAAAGAAAAGATAACAAGTTTATTCAGTATTAGATACCATTTTTTAGTTAGAATCTAACCTATATAGCCACGAGACTGTCTCTTGTACCTGAAGTAAGCATAATGTTAAAAAAAAATTAGAACAATTTGACTTTCATAGGTTTCATACTTTCTCTTGGAATTTTAAAGTAATTATATTTTTCTATATTACTTTGAAGCTATAAATTTAAAATATATATCAATAAATAAATATCTCTTACTTGTGCTCAATTCCATGTACTAAAATAGTGGCTAAAAACCAGGAAAATTTATGCTGATAAAAGATATAAGAATGTGTTTTGAGAAATAGTCACGATTGGGCAAGCAACACCACAAGAACAGTTAAGAAAAATATCACAACTTGGAATTTTTCTATTAATGCTTTAGACACTCTTCCAAATAATACATAATTGGCATATTAAGCTTTGAAATCCTATAAAATAAGACTAAAAAAACCTTTCAACAAATGTAATTGGCATAATCTAGTTGACAAAGAAGCACAGTATCTCAGATGGAAGCTATGTTTGTGTCGTATTTCAACAGGTTCAATTAGACTTCATTGTAGGAACAGCTGTACAATAAATCATACAGATCAAACACATCATCTTACTATCACAAAAGAAAAAGCTGTACAAGGCAAATATTTCTTTGTGTGGGCTAAAATGGGCACTTACCTCATGCATCAACACAGGAAGTCCAAAAGCTCGTATCACCTGGTTTACTCTTAATGTTTCTATTAACATAAATATATAGAAGGTAAGTAATACTGATTCAACCATACCTTTGTCCTTCCTGTAGCAGTTGAAAATCAGGATCCCTGTAACAAAACATAGGAATAAAAAATTGAAGGCAGCTGGTATGTCAAACATTTTCAAGTGTTTGTTATAACTATATTGGATAGAAAATATAATTAAAAGAAAACAGTTCATTTAAAGTTTTAAAGAAAAAATTGAAGAACAAAGTATTGTGAAACTCATCCATAAGAAATATGGATTAATCTGTTATCCAAAATTTGTTCATATTTTAGGACTAAGTTCAATTTCCATGAGTGTAATAAAGTTTTCCCTGACTAACCTGACTAAAGTAAATCACTCTCTCCTATGAGTTCCAGAGTCAGTATTATGTATTCAATTAATATATGTTAATCAGGTACTCCTCTATGGCTTAATACTAGAATTATTATCTAAAAGTCTTACTTTTCATATGTTTAAGTGTGGTTTCTTACCAAACTACAAGCTTCTTGAGGGCAGGAATTATGTACCACAATTCTCCTCTATTTCCTTTATGTAGTCAATAAGAATTTTTGCTCTAATTTCTGAGAAAGCATTGTATCGTAGTATGGATATGAACTATGTAGATCAGGTGATTGAATTCAATTCTAGGAACAATTTTTCTATGCAATACCAGAAATTACATTTGGCTGGGCATCATGGATATTTAAAAGACAGAGAGAAAAGCTCTTAGAAAGCCAATACAAAAAGGAACAAATAGCAAGTGATTCCAAGAGGACAGGAAAACTCTATAAAATATTTCTGAAGTGACTCAGGAAAAGTGACTTCTAAAGATTACAAAAATGGATTAAATACAAAGAAGAATACACAAAAAATGGAGTGATAATCCATGTTTATCAATAGGGAGACTCAATACGGTCAAGATGTCATTCTCAACTTGATCTACAGATTCAATGTAATCCCAATCAAAATCCCAGCAAGTTATTTGTGGATATCACAAACTGAGTGTAAAGTTTGGGAGGAGGCAAAAGACCAAGAATAGCTAACACAATAATGAAGAACAAAGTTGGAGAACTGACATTACCTGACTTCAAGACTATAACGCTACAGCAATGAAGACAGTGTGGTAGTGGTCAAAGAACAGATAAATAGATCACTGGAACAGAATAGAGAACCCAGAAATAGATGCACACAAATATATTCAACTGATCTTTGACAAAGCAGCAAAAGCAATATGAGGGAGAAAAGACCATTTTTTCAACAAATGGTACTGGAATACTGAGTATTCACATGTAAAGAAGTGAATCAAGGGGCACCTGGGTGGCTCAGTGTGTTGGGCCTCTCTGTTGATTTCAGCTCAGGTCACAATCCCAGGGTTGTGGGATTGAGCCCTGTGTTGGGCTCCGCACTGACTGCGGAGTCCACCTGAGATTCTCTTTCTCTCCCTCTGTCCCTCTCCACGGCTTGGACTTTGTCTCTGTCTCTCTCTCTCTAAAACAAACAAACAAACAAACAAACAAACATACAAACAAACAAGTGAATCAAGACAAAGACTTATACCATTCACAAAAACTAACTCAAAATGGATCATAGAACTAAATATAAAACACAAAACTATACAAAACTCCAACAAGATAATATAGGAGAAACTAGATGACTTTTTAGATAGGACACCAAACACACAATCTATGACTGAAAAAACTGGTAAGCCAGGCTTCATTAAATTAAAAAAATTCTGCTTTGTGAAAGATATTGTCAAGAGAATAAAAAGAAAAACCAGATTAGGAGAAAATATTTGCAAAAGACATACTTGATAAAAGACTATTATCCAAAATATCAAATAACTCTTAAAAGTCAGTAAGAAAACACCTCAATAAAAATGGGTCAAAGACATTAAAAGACACCTCACCAAAGAAGATATAAAGATGGCAAGTAAGCATATGAAAAGATGCTCTACATTATATGTCACCAGCAAACTGTAAATTAAAAGAACAGTAAGATACCACTACACTTGTTAGTATAGCTAAAATACACTACACTGACAACATCACATGCTGGTGAATGTTTGGAGCAAGAGAACTCTCATTCATTCCTGGTGAAAATGCAAAATGGTACAGCCACTTTGAAATACAGTTTGGTGATTTCTTTTAAAACTAAACATACTCTTACCATACAATCCAGAACTCTTACTCCTCGGTATTCACCCAAAGGAGTTGAAAATTTACATCTACATACCATTTGCACCTATGTGGATAGAACTAGAGGGTATTATGCTAAGTGAAATTAGTCAGAGAAAGACAAATATCACATGACTTCACTCATATGAAGAATTTAAGATACAAAACAGATGAACATAGGGAAGGAAAGCAAAAATAATTTAACAACGGTGGGGGGGAGACAAAACAGAAAACACTCTTAAATATAGAGAACAAACAGAGGGTTGGTGGAGGGGCTGTGGGAGGGGGGATGGGCTAAATGGGTAAGGGGCATTAAGGAATCTACTCTTGAAATCATTGTTGCACTATATGCTAACTAACTTGGATGTAAATTAAAGATAAACAAATAAATAAGAAAATTTACGTCTACACAAAAGCCTGCACACGGATGTTTACAGCAGCTCTATCCATTTTACCAAAACTTAGAAGCAATTAAGATATCTTTCAGTTGGTGAACGGTTAAATAAACTGTAGTAAATTCAGACAACAGATTATTATTAAGCATTAAAAAGAAACTAGCCACCATCAACCTAGAAAAAGACAGGGAAGAAACTTAAATGCATATTACTAAGTGAAATAAGCCAGCCTGAAAAGAACATATTCTGTATAATTTTACTACCTAATATTCTGGGAAAGGTAAAACTATGGAGATAGTAAAAAGATCAGGGTTGGGGCGCCTGGGTGGCGCAGTCGGTTAAGCGTCCGACTTCAGCCAGGTCACGATCTCGCGGTCCGTGAGTTCGAGCCCCGCGTCAGGCTCTGGGCTGATGGCTCAGAGCCTGGAGCCTGTTTCCGATTCTGTGTCTCCCTCTCTCTCTGCCCCTCCCCCGTTCATGCTCTGTCTCTCTCTGTCCCCAAAAAAATAAATAAACATTGAAAAAAAAATTTAAAAAAAAAGATCAGGGTTTATGACAGGTGGGAGATGAATAAGTGGAGCACATAGGATTTTTATGACTATAAAATTACTCTGTATAATAATGTAATTAATGTTGGATTCAAGTCATTATATATTTGTCCAAACCCATAGAATGTACAAAGCTAAGAGTGAACTCTAATGTAAACTATGGGCTTTGGGTGATAATGATATGTCAATACAGGCCCATCAATTGTAACAAATGAGCAATTTTGTTGGGGGATGCTGATAATGAGGGAGGCTATACAAGGGTAGGGGTAAGGAGGGTATATGGGAAATCTCTGTACCTTCCTCTCCATTTTGCTATGAAGCTAATATTGCTCTAAGGAATAAAGCCTATTAATAGAAAAAAAAGTAAATATAAGAAACTAGACATACATGAAAGAGAAGCTAAGGCATTGAATATTAATCCCATTTAAAGGACAAAATAGGGTTCCAATGAAGGCCATGATATTGCAAAAAAGCATTTCAATTAAAAAAAGTTAAGCCAAATGGATAGATGGAACCACAGGTTATTCGAGTTATGACACTGAAAGGCTGCTAATCAAAAAATGTCAGTTAAAGATATTTTTCTATATAATTAAGCATCAGAGTTGACCACATAATACTGCCTAGATAATCCATTTATCTTGTCTTCAGTCTTAAGCAGAAGAGGCACTGCTATGAATGGACTCTCCTACCAATCCTCTCCTTAAGTTATGGAAGGCACCGCTAACTAATCAAGGCATTCTTTCCCATTATATTCCTTCTCAGCACCACACATCAGGAGACATATGGGATGAAACCAATATTTGCCATCCCTGCTTTAGAGATTCCCCTGTAGTTCAGGAATTCTCCAAGACCAATAATAAAAAATTTAGAAGGAAAGGCAAAATAAGACAATGGGCAATGAGCTGACTGAGAGTAAAATTTTAATCTATTTTTGTTTTTTTCCTTAGTCCCTCAGCCAATTGAGGCATATCCTTTCCCAATCACCCAATATTACCCTGTTAACACTACTTCTTCTACTCACTAAAACTCTAGTTATAGAAGCTACCTTGGGTTGGTGTTCCTCAAAGCAAAGGACACTACTTGGATGGTGACTAGCCTTGATTGCTCCAGGGGATATTTATAACTCTCATTAAGAGCTTTTTTGGCCTAAATAATATGCTAACTTTTACAACAGAGGATTTTATTGCCTCTCACAGGTACCTGTAGTTCTTTCATTCTTCCTATCCCACATCCCCATCCAAGTCTTCCTGGCTAAAATTGTCAAGGTTCAGTGCCTTGCAGCTGCCTGGCATTTAGTCCTATAGGGTCTGAGTATCTCTATAGGTAAGAAAATATGTATAGACAGCGATTCTCAATTGGACTCTTACACTCAACAGCTAACCTACAAATGCAGGGTATATATTCCATTATTCCTTCAAAAATAAAATTCTGAACTATTATATGTATGAATTATGCTGTGTATATTAAGTAATATAAAGAACAGGTTCTTATTCTTAAGGACGTTACAATTTAGTAGGAGAAAAACGCCTGTGCTAAGAGCTTCACAAAGGTTAATCCTCACAAGAATGAGTAGCTACAACTATTATCCCCATGTTACAGATAAAACAATTTGAGTACTAAAAGAATAAGTAGTGGAAAGCCACACAACTGGTAAGTGGTAAAGCCAGAAATCAAATCAAGACAGCAGGGCTCTTAACTACATTTTGCATCATATAATTTCAGAGAATATATGTTAAGTATCATGAGAGATACATGAACTGCTACAACAAATTACAGAAGAAATAAAAGTTGCTTGTTGAGCCAATGAAGAAAAGCTTTAGATTCAGTTGGGTCTATAAAGATTCATATAGTTTATATATAAAAGCCTTTAAGGCTAACTCTATGGATCTGAGGTTTTACTCCATAAACCTCTCCCTTTTTCCTCTTGCCTTTTAGGATATTATCATACTTAAATTTATCTTGAGAA